TCATGATTCCTACAATTCAAACAGAACTAGATGTCCTTCCCTAAAAATCTGAAAGAATAAATTTCTAAACACAGTATACGATTTAAGGGGATTACCGAGCCAACATCAGTAGGGAAAAAATAATCATCAGCAGTGCACCTTTGCTCGTTGAATAGGCATTGACAAATGGAGTAAACATGATTTATGGGTGCTACAGATGAACATCAGTGCACAACTTCTTATTGAAAACCCACAAAAACTGGAGTAAACCAAAGTACGATTTAAACCCCAACATAACATTATCAGAATGTATGAAGAATAGACATGAATAAAGTTAGTTCGCACTTCACCAAAATGAAAGACAGGCTCGTCAGATCTTCTTAGTCTAGAGAAGTTGAACTATGAAGTATGACAAGCAGAAGGATTTGCTATATGCTATGAGTATGGTGTTATGGTCCCCTGATATGGATCTCGCATGGGGTGATGCAATATGAAATCTGAAGTTTTCTTCTTACGATATATGATGTTGGTTCTTTAAGAGAGAACCTACAATCTCTTCAGCAAAAGTACTGAGAATCTGAAATTACTTTTCTACTTACATTTCCTTAGACAAACTGACAATTTAAATACAATACTTAAAAGATAACTACCTCTAGAAACTAGGACATGACTTCCTAACACTACTCGAATGAAAAACTGCACTATTACAAGAAAATAACTACTACTAAAAGGAAATAATTACTGCTAAAAAGAAATAACTAATGCTATAATTATTGAATAACTAAGGGTGATAACATCTGGTGAGTGGTGACAAATATATTCCAAATGTTAGAACAAAATTACTCAAGAAACTGATTTGAAAAAATAAAAATAGAGTGAACTTATGAAATTCCTTGTGTATATTAATCTGCAAAAAGTCTAAATTTATACAAAGAAAAAAAAACATTAAAACTAAAATAAGAACATGTGCCACTAACTACCATAAAAGGGGGCCACTAACAACCATAATGGGGCCACTAACTTCAGAAAGTTGAGCAACTTAAGTTAACTAAGTCTACTAGAAAATAGGAAGCACTAAATTTATATAAGTAAAAATCAATAAAAATAATAATAAGCTGAAAAAATGTCAATTGTCTAACACTCCTCCTTGGCATTTTTGTGGCAAACACCAATTTTTTGCCTCAGATTTTCAAACCTTTCCTTTGGCAATGACTTGGTGAAAATGTCAGCTAGCTGGTTCTCAGATGAACAATGAACAATCAACACTTCATTAGATTGTTGGACTTCTCTAATAAAATGAAACTTGATCTTGATATGTTTAGTTCGACCATGAAACACTGATTTTTTGAAATTGAAACTGCTGAACTGTTGTCACACATGATCTCAATAGCTTATGTTTGTTCATGGCCTAAGTCCTTCATCATCATCCTTAGCCAGATACTTGATTCACAGCAAATGCAGCAGCTATGTACTCAGCATTTGCTGTTCATTGAGCTGTAGTTTCTTGTTTTCTAAAGCTCCAACTAAAACAACTTGTCCCCAAACAGAAAAGATATCCAGATGTGCTTCTGGAATCATCAACTCCACCACCCCAATCACTATCAGAGTACCCGGTCAGGTTCATAGTTACTTTGGTAGATGTTGGGAAAAAAATTCACTTGCTAGTTCCTTTAATATACCTTAACACTCTTTTAGCAGCTGTGAGATGTGTCTCAAGAACATGCATGAACCTAGAGAGCAAACCAACAACAAATAGAATGTCAGGCCTGCTTGCGGTTAGATATAGAAGACTGTCAATTATGCTTCTATACATACTATCATCCACTTTTTCAGAATCCTCATCCTTGCCAAGCTTGGCACCAGTAGATATTGGAGTTCTCACAGGTTTGCAGTCTTGCATTTTGAACCTATTTAGAATATCCGAAATGTATTTCTGCTGGCATATGAAAACCCCATCACTGGATTGCAACAGTTCCATGCCGAGAAAGTACTTCATGACTCCAAGATCAGTCATTTCAAAGATTTTCTCCATTTCATCCTTGAACCTTTGGATTAGTTCAATTTTGCTTCCTGTCACAAGCATGTCATTCACATAAATTGAGACAATTAAGGACTCACCTACAGCATTGACTTTCACATACAAAGTAGCTTCACTTTGAATTCTACTAAAGCCAAGTTGGATGAGATGATTGTCCATCCTCTCATATCATGCCCTTGGGGCTTGTTTTAGGCCATACAAGGCCTTAGTTAAGAGATAAACTTGATCCTCTATTCCAGGAGTTGAGAAACCATCAGGTTGCTCTACATAGATCTCTTCAGCAAGCAAACCATTCAAGAAAGCCGATTTGACATAAAGTTGATGAATCTGCCAGGAACTATGAGATGCAAATGCAAGAATAAGTTTGATTATGTCATACCTTGCTACATGAGCAAATGTTTCCTGGTAATCCACACCATATTGTTGTGTGTATCCCTTCACCACCAATCTAGCCTTATGATTGCAAATTGTTCCATCACGATTGAGTTTTGTCTTGAAAATCCATTTTACACCAATTACCTTGCGATTTCTAGGTCTGTCAACAAGCTGCCAGTATCCATTCTTCTCAATCATGTCTAGTTCTTCTTGCATAGCTCTCCTCCATGCCTAAGAGTCTTGTGCTTCAGCATAGCTTATTGGTTCAGAGCTAACCAAGTTACGCCGCTAATAGACATCTTTTAACGATCGAGTTCCCCTTACTTGTACATCATCCACTAATTCATCTTCTGAAAGTTGAGGCTGCTCTATTGAAAATGAATCAGAATAAGAGGACTTCTGATTTTTCCAATCCCAACCAGCTGCTTCATCAAACTTCTCGGCTGAGAATTAGTTTGTCTGATTCAAACAGAAAATCCTGTAACCTTTGGATGAACTATAGCCCATAAATATGCCTTTATGAGCCTTGTTATCCATCTTACTCCTTTTTGTTAATAGAACTAGATAATAACATATACACCCAAAGATTCTGAGATGGTGTATTGATGGTTTGTTCCCATACCAAGCTTTATATGGAGTGATCCTGCAAGGCCTTAGTAGGCAATCTGTTCAGCAAATATACAGAGGTATTGACTGCCTCAGCCCAAAACTGATTTGGGATCATTCTTTCGAGCAAAAGACATATGGCCATCTCCATTACTGTCCTGTTCTTCCTTTCAGACACGCCATTTATTGTGGAGTGTGTGGTAATGTCAATTGGCGTTCAATACATGTGCTATTACAAAACTCCACAAATTGAGAAGAAGTGTATTCTCCTCCATTGTCAGACCTTAAAGCCTTAATACTAAGATTACATTGATTTTCTACTAAAGCTTTAAATTATTTAAAAAGATCAAAGACTTCACTCTTCAATCTTATGAAATAAACCCAACACATTCTGGTGTAGTCATTAATAAAGAGGAGAAAGTATCTGTTACCACTCAGCGAATCTGTTTTCATTGGGCCGCAAACATCCGTATGAATGAGTTGAAGTTTCTGGTTAGCTCTTCGTACTTGATTTGCTTGAAATGATAATTTTGTTTGCTTTCCCTATTGGCAAGTTTCACAAACTTGAGCATTAGAAAGAAATTCGGACATATTTTCCACTAGTCATTTTTTTTCTTCTCGGCGATGCTTCTGAGATTGAAGTGACCAAACCTTTTGTGTCATAGGTTTGTACATGTTTGTTAAGTAATAGTGTAAGCATGCTTAGTTATTTTCTCGCAATAAACTGAAAACATTTTGTTGCTCATCTTGATATAAAATAACTCTACTCCAAAAAGGGTCAGAAACAAAACATTCACGATTCTTAAAATGCAGAGAATAATTATTTTCAAGCATTTGTCAAACAGTCAACAAAGTTTGACTCATATCAGGTGTGTACAAAACATTAGAAAAAGTTATGATACCTGATATTGTTGAGATAGACATTGTACCTCTGCCTTTGACTTCTACTGCCTCACCGTTTCCCACCTTTACTTTAGATTTGTAAGTATCATCGAGGAATTTGAACAGTTCAACATTATTGCACAAGTGATGTGTGCAACCACTGTCAAGAAGCCATGAATCAAAGGATTCACTGATTGAAAAGTATGAAACTGCAAATAGTTGCTCTTTATGTACATCGACAGCTTCTGCTACTTGTGCTTGCAAAGCACTAGAGGCCTTTGCTCTTGATTTGCAGACCTTGGATACGTGTCCCGTCTGCTTACAGTTGTTGCATATAGCATCGACTCTCTACCAACAATACTTCTCCAGATGTGTATTTCTTTTACAATGTTTGCAAGGAGGGCACTTCTGCTTCACATCTCCACTATTGTTTCCTCCATCATGCTTGCCCTTATTCTTTTGGTGGAATTGTTGCTTTCCTTTTTGCTTTTGTACAGAGAAAGCTCCTTCAATGAACGTTTCCCGTCTCATAGTCCTCCTTTGCTCTTGTGCTTGAAGAGCACTCATTAGTTCACCTAATGAAAGTTTGCTCAGGTCCTTGGATTCTTCAAGAGAGGAAATCTTAGATTCAAATCTCTCAGGATGAGTCACAAGAACTTTCTCCACAATTCGTTTATCTGTAAATTCTTCAGGCATAAGTCTAATGTTATTAACAATTAAGGAGATTCGATCAGCATACTTACTGATAGTTTCATCCTCATGCATATTCAAGGACTCAAACTCTCTTTTCAGGTTCAACACCTGTTCTGATGAAAAGATGAAACCGAAAATCTAACAATAAAGAACACCAAGTTTAACGTGGAAAACCCTTCAAACCGAAGGTAACCACCACGAAATCGACAAGATCCGAATTGCTTCACTATACCAATGAGAGGGTTACAAATATTCTTCTAATGGATACACAACAAGTGCCAAAAGAGAACAAACAATAGCTACACCAACAAAAGATAAATAGAAAGAAACACCACCCAAACCCAGCTTCTGTTCAGGACCTAAAATAGGATCTTGTTGACCTCCGAATCTGATCCCCACCGTTCAAATCAACCACCAAGATGTCAGAGACACTCAGTCCAAATTTCAGCCCGATCCAACGGTTAGTTAATCGGGAAACACAATCTGAACGTTACTGGTCGGAGAAAAGACTGCAGCAAAAGAACCATTTTCTTTCTCTCTTTTCTCTTATTGAAAGCTATCTCAAAAACCTATCTTATGTTCTAATGTCTTTCAAAAACAATACCAATGAGCAATTTAATTATTCTCTCAAAACCATTCTCTATTTATAGAGTTGTGTTTTTTCTTACAAAGTCAAAACCAACAATAAATAGGATTACTATTTCAATCCTTTTCCTAATAAAATTGGAAACCAAATAAAGAGAATAATTCCAATCCTTTTCCAAATAGGATTAAGCCATGGGCCTTTGGCTGGAACACGGGCAATAGCCCAACAAACTCCCCCTCCAGCCAAGGGGCCAAATGGACTTCAAGTGGAGGAACTTTTGACAGGCTTCTTGTCTGCCACACTTCTACAAAACTCGTGATTGTCTACGATGAGTTCTTTCCACTTATCTCTATGAGTATCTAACATGACTTCATCATAACCTTCAGGTTCTCCCATATTAGTCACTAGAATATACTCATCATGAGAATAGCGTGTTGAGCTTCGCTTCTCTCTAGTAGATCTTCTACAAGAGGTTTCTGGAGCATCCGAAGCGGTCAACCCAACATGAGTTGATTGATTATCAACCACAACATCATCAGCAGGAACAATTATATGTTCTACACTCTCATCATTATCTTGATCATTACCTTGGGTTCCCTCATGTGCAGAAGATGTATCAATAATAGGAATTGGATCAACATCAACTAAGCTCTCATCAGTTTGAGAATCTAGTTTCTCAGTATTGTCAATATCTTCAATAGTTTGATCTTCAAAGAACACAACATCACGACTTCTAATGAGTTTCTTATCAATTGGATCATAAAAGAGATATCCAAACACATCTTGACCATAACCAATGAAGATACATTGCTTAGTTTTAACATCCAATTTTGACCTCTCATCTTTTGGAACATGCACACAAGCTTTACACTCAAACACTTTCAAGTGATCATAAGAAACATCCTTATCAAACCAAACTCTATTTGGAACATACCATCCAAAGCAACAACAGGAGACAAATTGATAACATAAGCAACGACGTTAAGTGCTTTAGCCCAAAAAGAATTTGAAAGTTTAGCTTCTGAAAGCACACATCTAACTCTCTCAACTAAAGTTCTGTTCATCCTCTCTGCCAAACCATTTAATTGAGGAGTCTTTGAAGGAGTCTTTTGATGACAAATTCCTTGCGATTTGCAGTAGTTATCAAAGGGACCAATATACTCACCTCCATTATCAGTGCGAATACATTTTAATTTCTTTCTCATTTGTCTCTCAAATAAGGCTTGAAACTGTTTAAACACATCAAGCACTTGATCTTTGAATTTTAAAGGATATACCCAAATCTTCCGAGAATGATCATCAATGAAAGTAACAAAGTAAAGTGCACCACCTTTTGACTTCACTTTGAAAGGACCACACAAATCTGAGTGTACTAGCTTCAATAGCTCACACTTTCTTGAAGGATGATGACTGTGAAAAGAAACTCTTTTCTGTTTCCCTGCTAAGCAATGAACACATCTTTTCACCTTTGCTTGTTTCATACAAGCAAACAAATTCTTCTTAGCCAAACAGGTGATCCCCCTCTCGCTCATATGATTAAGCCTCTTGTGCCACAATTCTGATAAAGTCTCGCTCTCCACCAAATTCATAGAGTCACCAAGAATCGATCCTTGTGTCACGTGTAAAATTGAATGTTTTCTTCCTCGAGCTAAAATCAGTGAGCCTTTGGTGAGCTTCCATTGGCCATTGCACAAGTCATTATGATAGCTATCATCATCTAGTTGTCCTACAGATATCAAATTTATTGGAATGTCTGGAGCATGCTTGACATTTTGAAGGACCAACATTGAACCAATATTGGTTTTCAAACAAACAGTGCCAACACCAAACACCTTAACTTCACCAGTATTACCCATTTTTAACACCTCAGAGTTAACAGAAGTATAAGATGAAAAGAAGTCTTTTCTTGGTGTGACATGTGATGTGGCTCCAGAATCTACTATCCAACTTGTATATTGAGATATAAAATTGATGACGTCTTTATCACAAGCGAAGAGAAGTTCACCTTGGACAACAGCAACAACATTATTTTCATTGTTTTCTTCCTTCTTCCCTTCTTTAAGATCTTGCTTCAATTGTTTACAAAATCTTTTAATGTCCTTTCTTTCCACAATGATAACATATAATATTTGGATTCTTGAATTTTGACTTACTTCTGCTTTTACCTCTACTCCTCGGATCTCTTGTCTTATGTCTCCCTCGATCTTCTGTATATAGAACATCTGAATGTGAAGATGTGTCTTGAGATTTTCTTCTAACCTCTTCATCCAACACACCACTCTTTGCATATTCCATAGTCACCTTTCCACCAGTGATAGAATTTGTTAAAGAAACACGAAGAATTTCCCAAGAATTCGATAGAGTATTAAGAAGCCTAAGTCCTTGTATTTCATCATCAAAATTCACACCCATTCCAGATAGCTGATCAAGAATACCCTGAAAATCATTTATATGATCAAGAATATAACTGCCCTTCTTGTATTTAAAGGTCATCAATTGCTTTAACAAGAACAACTTCTTGTTGCAAGTTTTTGAAGCGTAAAGCGTCTTCAACTTTTCCCACAATGTTCTAGAATGTGTCTCATTCACAATATGGTTGCGAACATTATCTTCAACCCATTGTCTTATATATCCACATACTTGTTGGTGCTCAAATTCCCAATTTTCAAATTCCCAATTTTCACCAGTCACATTCTCGGGTTTATGAGCAGAACAAACTGAAAGATGCATCTTCTTCACGAACAATAGATCTTTCATCTTGCTTTTCCATATGTTGTAATTTTTTCCGTTTAGACATACCATCTTGCTCATATTACCCTCCATATAGATAACCTTAGCTCTGATACCAATTGTTGAGATGAAAAGATGAAACCGAAAATCTAACAATAAATAACACCAAGTTTAACGTGGAAAAACCCTTCAAACCAAAGGTAACCACCACAGGATCGACAAGATCCGAATTGCTTCACTATACCAACAAGAGGGTTACAAATATTCTTCTAATTGATACACAACAAGTGCCAAAAGAGAACAAATAATAGCTACACCAACAAAAGATAAATAGAAAGAAACACCACTCAAACCCAGCCTCGGTTCGGGACCTAAAATAGGATCTTGCTGACCTCCGAATTCGATCTCCACTGTTCAAATCAACCACCATGATGTCAGGAACACTCAGTCCAAATTTCATCCTGATCCAACGGTTAGTTAATCGGGAAACACGATCTGAACGTTACTGGTCGGAGAAAAGACTACAACAAAAGGACCCTTTTCTTTCTATCTTTTCTCTTGTTGAAAGCTCTCTCAAAAAGCTCTCTTATGTTCTAATGTCTTTCAAAGACAATACCAATGAGCAATTAATTCTCTCAAAAACATCCTCTATTTATAGAGTTGTGCTTTTTCTTACAAAGCCAAAACCAACTACAAATATGATTACTATTCCAATCCTTTTCCTAATAGAATTGGAAACCAAACAAAGAGAATAATTCCAATCCTTTTCCAAGTAGGATTAGGCCATGGGCCTTTGGCTGGAACACAGGCAATAGCCCAACAACACTTGCATTTGACGTGTTCTATCGCTGCCTTGATGTTCTTCTTTCAACCTATCCCAAACCTCTTTTGCAGTTTTGCAAGCCATGATTTTGTAAATCACAGTATCTGCCACAGCATTCTGCATAAGTGACTTGACTTTAGATTTCTTTGCCTTCTCTTCGTTGTTGGATTTGATCTGAGCCAAGGTAGGATCTGCTAGTAGAGCAGCAAGTGGTTTATCTTCCGTCACAGTTTCCCAAAGTTCATAGGCTTCCAAAAAAGTTTGCATCTTCACAGACCAAATTTGGTAATTTTCACCAGTTTAAGTGAATCGTGGATTTAAAGGTAGGTTGTTGGATGTCATTTGTGTTGTAGGTTAAAACTTTTTTTGTTCTGTAAGAACAACTAGAGGCTCTGATGCCACTGTTAGAACAAAAATACTCAAGAAACTTATTTGAAAAAATAAAATAAGAACATGTGCCACTAACTACCATAAAAGGGGGCCACTAACAACCATAATTGGACCATTAACTTCAGAAAGTTGAGGAACTAAAGTTGATTAAGTCTAGCTAAAGAATAGGAAGCACTAAATTAAAATAAGTAAAAACCAGTAAAAATAATAACAAGCTAAAAATATGTCAATTGTCTAACACCAAAAGGCAACAGTAGCAAGAATCTATACCTGCACCAACACCAACACCCAACCACAAACCCCACCACAAAAGAAACCCAAGGTTCTTGATGGGTTAAGTTATTCTAAAGTACCTGTGCCGCAAGTTTCTTTGGGTAATTATGATAAAAGGAGTCATAGTGGTTACAAGACATACTTAGCTTGCACAAATGTGTATTTGAGGGTTAGACTAGTTTTCTTTAAAAACCACAGTGAGTTGTCCATATCCAACAAAGCCTACTCTACAGAGATACAAAGCTGTAGAGTTACCCTTCTGGATGGCCCAGTCGTTTGAGCTTGGGACTTCCATGTTGGAAGTTTCAAATTCGAAACCCTTTGCCAGTGAAAGCAAGGGGTTTGCCTCTTGGGTCGAGCTCATCGCACCAGACTTGCCTAGTGCGGGTTACCTCTCCTATGTGATTTGCAAGCTATTGCATAGGAGCGGGGGTTTTACCTTGTGCGCACTCAAAGGGTAGCAGCTGCAGGTTTCCCTTGTCATCAAAAAAAGTTGCAGAGTCCGCATGCTACTCTGTTTATACACTGTTTCCCTCAATGAGTCAAACTTTAGCAGGATGTATTCAAAAGGTGCAAACTAAATGCTCCCCTCAATGACTCAAAGTTTAGATAAATGCATTATTAAAGTGCAACATCTTCAATAAAAGTTAAAGTGAAAAAAAAAGATTTTACGATTCATTTTCAACTATAGTTTCTAAATGTATTTTGCTTTATTCAGATCATATTAATAAAGACCATACCTGGAAAGCCTCTAAGATAGAATTGTAATGCCTTTGCTCTGAAACTATAGCTGCATATTGCCCCTTGAGAGCTTCATGAGCTTTCCGCTCTGATTGTAGAGCAATTTGCACCTTTTCCAGCTTCTGGAATATGCAGCTCACTAGTAAGTGTTCATCTTACAGACCATATAAGCGCCACTAAGAAATATTTCGATCTTCTAATGTTTATGCTGAGATTTGTTTTGGATGAGAGAAAGCATAGACAATAGGCAAGAGCAAATATAAATGGCAGAAATATAGTTGTCAGTGAAAAAATGGAATATGACACTGAGAAGATCTAGTACTCCTCTACACAACTTGCCAAAAGGAAAATAGGCAATGCAAGAGACCATCAAGGAGATCTTCAAGCTTTCGTTTTAAAGGCATTATTGGTTTCATGAAAGGTATCCCCAATGTCACTTACACTCCCACTGAATTAATTACTATCATGCAGGTATTAAAGATTGCTTCGCAACATAATCCTACTCCCATTAGAATAGCCTCAGATTCATTAGAGGTTATCAACATGCTACAAAATGGCCATCTGACTTACTGTTTATCAATCTTTGAATGCAGGTCATAGATGCAGTCATAGGATAATCCAACAGTCAGTCACATACAAGGAGAAAAATCAAGTAGTTGATCTACTGGCAAAAGAGGGTGCAAAGAGGTAATGTTTAGATAGACTTGGCATTTTGACAGTCCTTCCGATGTTTGCCAACAATGTGTCTGGACAGACATTCTAGAACTACTTTAGCTAGATATATCTCGGGCTATAACATTTAATGTGTTGAACACATCTAGCGAACAAATTAGAAGCAATGCTCCGACTAATCTAGAATTTTTCCATATTGGTATGATAATCCTATCCACTTAACATCCCCCCCCCCCAAAAAAAATACTGCCCCTCTCCAAGGCAACTTTTTGATGAGTTCTAACGGAAGGATATTCCTGAACTTCTTGTATCCATCTAAAGGATCAGAGTCTATGTATTGATTCTAGTCCCTCCTATTAACACTAAATTTCTGGTTATTATGAACCTTCTCATTGTTCTGAAAAAGCTTGTTTCTCACATACAGGAATTGATTAAATGCTCTGAAAAAATAAATTTACAACTGTTCAAGAAAAGTTACACACCCTGCTCTTTCGTTGAGGTATTGGTATAGAGTTTAAAGTATTAAACTCTTCTCTAAACATTGAATATGCAACCATTATTCCCTAAAAAAAGGATATCATTATCATCTAAGCTAGTATGTCTCATGGTGACAAAAGGGAAATAAAAAGTCAATCTAGCACGCTCAACTTGACTTTACAATATAGAGTTGCAAATTCAAGTTTCTTTACCTTAAGTAATGGGTAAGTGGAAGTAAAAAAGAAGTAATCATATCATATATGTCTAAGGTTCTCAATATGTCAAGATTTATTGAATTTGAGTAGGAAAGATACTGTAAAATACTCCTTTTCTTTCAATTTTCTTGTTTTACTTTCCTTTTTCCTTCGTTTAAAAAAGAATGTCTCTTTTCTAATATGGCATCTCCTTAATTTCAACATTCCACGTTGCATGTTGAAGTCCACAAATTTAAAGTACATTTTGGTACATTGTATATCTTTAGTCAACAACCACAAGATTCAAGTCCTCTTTAATTTCGTAAACTCTATGTCTGGTTAAACTAAGACAACCAAATGGGAGCAGAGGGAGTATTATATTAACACTAGTAAAATTATCCGCGCTTCACGCAAAAATTTAAAATCACGAAATTTATAAAATAATACTTAAAATCTATCCGTCATTAAAACTAAAACACTATTATTTTACACACAAAATTACGTAGTAAAGAACATTAATAATGTAAATTGTGTGTTTTCTTATAAATAGTCACTAAATAGGCATAAAGAATAATAACCTAGCATATTATATAATCAAAATGACAATATAAGGAGCCTCTCTTCTACATTGATAATAATCAATCCATTATGAAGTAATCTTGCTTGTTTATTCTTTTTTCTTTTTTCGCACCAAATTTAGTAATAAATATCAGTTTCCACTAATATATGAATTCTTTGTATCTAAGTGTCCAGCCGATTCACAATAATTATGTTATTTTCCGGCAGTTGTTAATCTACAACACCTCTTCTACTTTTTCTAAGTTACGAACTGGCTATACTTTGTGAAAGTATAGGCAAAACTTATTCTAGATCTTGCAAACAAATTTTTATTAGAGATCTACCATCACTTCGTAGAATACTAAGTGGGTTGATGCCCGTGCTCTTGTTAATCTACAACACCTCTTCTACTTTTTCCAAGTTGAAGTGGCTATACTTTGTGAAAGCATAGCCGGAGACTATTCTAGATCTTGCAAGCAATTTTTATGTACGATCCACCATCACTTAGTAGAATGATAGGTGAGTTGATGTCCATGTTGAGCACAGGTCCAACATGTGATTATTATTGTTCTTTCTCAAATGGTGGTAAGATTTTTAAAATTTTGTAGTCTTAAACATGTCACAACACTTCATGTAGTCATAAAAGATAAAATGGAAAGCTCAAGTTATACAATTTCCAAATTTAAAAACATGTTATTCTTTCTGAAACAAACTAGTAAGGAAATAATGCAAATGTTTTGAAACGGAGGGAGCAGTTGTCTTGTGTAAGAAGTTTTAAACATTTTTAATTTAATGTTACAAAAAGCATTGCATCTACTATTTGTCACAATAGAGATAAATGATGTTCCACAATACTATGTGATGTACAATAGTACAGAATTTTGGTATACTGTGATATATGTGTTAGAATAGAATATGTAGACACAGAATAGGAATAGTTTATAGTCTCCTATTTGGTAAGGAACTGTATTGTAGTGTCTACAAATAGGGTTCTCTATGTAATAATTAAAACAATTCAATAGTATTCTCTTTCAATATTTCTCACATGGTATCAGAGCAATTGTGAGAAAAATAATAAAATAAAATATCACATTGTCCAGTTTTTCTGATAACCTAGAACCTGTCCGGGTAATTAATATTTTCCGTCAATATTTTTTAAAAATTAACACCACCACTAGGTGAGGACATCCCGGCGACCAAAACCCAGTCATATCGGCCAGTAAACAGTGTCGCATGTGCCGCCGGAAGAATTTCTCCAACGAGTTTTCAGATCCACGCGCCGGCGCGTGAGACATCTTCCGACCAGTTTTTCGCCAATTGTTTTTCCATCTGGATCGCCTCTTCATTCCAAGGCTAACCATATGTTTTTTTTTTATTCTGACCAACATTCAGCGATCAGATCTACCAGATTCTGACGATAAAAAAAAACCCAATTTTTGGCCACACAAGCAACCTCATTTGAGTTGTGGTGCAAGGGTCAAGGTGTCCAAGATCACTTAACGAACATTGCTTGTGTTGTCGATGAAAAGACTAAGGTAGTAGGGAAGATGTAAAAGCCAAAGCACAATGGGAGAAGGTTGATGCACAATTATGTAGTCTCTTATGGCGATCAATTGATTTTAAGTTGATGCACTGGTTCCGTCCATTCCAAACATGTCATTCAGTGTAGGATAAGGCTTGTGCTTTTATACACTAATGATATATCTCGATTCTATGATGTGATATATCGTATGACCAACTTAAAGAAAGAAGAATTAGATATCTCCACCTACTTTGGGATAAGTACAGGAAGTCATGGAGGAATTTGAAACATTGATGTCAGTCACCACGGACGTTCAACAACAACCACATAGACAAACATTGTTTTTAGTACTTACACTTGATGGACTTCCTACTGACCATGATTCAATGCGTGATCAGATTTAGCTAGTCCTACAATTCATGCAGTTGATGGATTATTCTCTCGTCTACTTCGTCTAGCCGCACCTCCCAGCCACAAAGTAGTTTCATCACTGACCATTGACTCATCTGCTCTCACATCTCAAACCATAGAAAAACGAGCATATTCGACTATGGAGACTCGCCGAGGAGGAGGTCGTCTTGGAAAATCTCGATCAAAGTGTAGTTATTGTCATAAGTTTGGACATACTCGTGACATATGTCATATTTACATGGTCCACCACCCAATTATGATTCTGTTGTTCTAAAGGAATATAATGAGTTCCTTCGTAATCGTGTAAGTAAGCAGAAATCTCCACAAGAAGCATTTGTTGCTCCGCCTGATCGACCATCCTATAATGCTCATATTGCCTAATCAAAATATGATGAATTTCTTCAATATTGAGCAAGTAAGCAAACATCTCCACAAGTAGCTTCGAGTTGTTCAACATGATGTTGTTGCGGGGACTTGGGAGCTTTTGATCATATTTCTTATAACAAATCACTTCTGTCAAATATTGTTTATTCACAATCTCTTCCTGCTATTACTTTGGCCAATAGGATACAAACAAAACAAAAAGGGGTTGGAAAAGTCATACCTTTATCTTCTGTCACTCTAGACTATGTCCTTTGCGTCCCTGGTTCTCCTTTTAATCTGGCGTCTGTTAGTCATTTACACGTGCCCTACATTGTAGCATAACCTTTTTTGATGATTTTTATTTCTCATGCAGGACCGCAGTACAGAGAATTGGCACAGGACATGAATCACAAGGACTTTACTATCTTACCTCTTCAAATTCTTTAACATGTCATGTCAATTACAGGGACATCCGAGTGTATCCAAACTTCAAAAGATGGTGCCTAGTTTATCTAATTTATCAAAGTTAGATTGTGAGTCGTATCAACTTGGGAAACACACTCGTGCCACATTTTCACGTGGTATCGAGGGTCGTTCAGAGTTTATTTTTTTATTAGTTCATTCTAATATTTGGGGTCCTAGTAGAGTCAGTTCCACCTTAGGATTTCGTTATTTTGTTAGTTTCATTGATGATTATTCGAGATGTACTTGGGTTTTCTTAATGAAAGATCGTTTGGAGTTATTTTCTGTATTCAAAAGTTTCTTTGCTGAAATACAAAATTAGTTTGGTGTCTCTATTTGTACATTTCGTAGTGATAATGCCTTAGAATACTTATCATCCCAATTTCAAGAGTTTATGTCTCACTAAAGCATTATTCACCAAACATATTGTACATACACTCCTCAACAAAATGGTGTGGTAGAAAGAAAGAATAGACATCTCACTGAGACCGCTCGCACCCTTCTCATTGGATCTCATGTTTCGCTGCATTTTTAGGGCGATGCAGTCCTTTCATCTTGTTATTTAATTAAATAGAATGTCATCATCTTCTATTCAGAATCAGGTTCCACATTCCACACTAAATCCTCAGTCACATCTCTATTGTATCCCTTCTCGTCTATTTGGGAGCACATGTTTTGTTCATAAGTTAGCCCTAGGAAAAGATAAAATAACCCATCGTGCTCTTAAATGTGTCTTTCTTGGTTACTCTCGAGTTCAAAAAGGGTATCGTTCTATTAACATGATCTCCGCCGATATCTTATGTCTGCCGATGTAACATTCTTTGAATCTCAACCTTACTACACATCTTCTGAGCATCCTGAGGTCTTACCCACACCTCAGGTCTTGCTTATACCGAATTTTGAGGTTCCTACGATTACTTCTCCATCTCCAGTTGAAGTGCCACTACACTAACTTATCATTAGCATCCACGTCCAGCAATAGACTCAAATGATTCATGTCATGTGCCAGACCCTGCTCCTACAGTGGTCGTGCCTCCTGCTAGCCAATCGATTCCACTTCAAAGAAGTATAGGATTCACTCGAAATATTAATCCACATTATACTTTCTTTGGTTATCATCGTTTATCTTCATCCCATTATGCCTTAAAATCATCTTTGTCCTCTATTTCCATCCCTAAGACTACAGAAGAAGCACTTTCTCATTCATTCTGGATGGAGACAGGCTATGACTGATGAGATGAGTGCTTTATATTCGAGTGGTACTTGGGAGCTTGTCTCCCCCTCAAATGTTGGTTGTCTTTGGTTTTATGCGGTCAAAATTGGTCCAGATAATCAAGTTGATCGGCTTAAGGCTTGCCTTGTTGCCAAAGGGTATACTCAGATATTTGGGCTAGATTATATAGACTCTTTCGCTCATGTGGCCAAAATAGCATCAGTTCATCTTTTTCTATCTATGGTTGTCATTCGTCATTGGCCTCTTCATCAGTTGGACACTAAATATGCATTTTTTTCATGGTGATCTTGAGGAAGAAGTTTATATGGAGCAACCACCTGGTTTTGTTGCTCAGGGGGAGTCTAGAAGCCTTGTATGTCGATTGCGTCGGTCACTTTATGGTTTGAAACAGTCTCATCGAGCTTGGTTTGGAAAGTTCAATACAGTAATTCAGGAATTTGGCATGACTTGCAGTGGAGCTGATCACTCTGTATTATATCGACATTAAGCACCAAATCTTGTGATTTTACTTGGTTGTGTACGTTGATATCGTTATCACGGGTAATGATCAAGTTGGTATTGCTAATTTGAAGCAGTATCTCTTTCAGCATTTCCAAACCAAAAACCTTTACAAACTGAATTATTTCATAGGTATTGAGGTTTCTCAGTCTAGATCAGGTATTGTTATTTCTCAACGCAAATACGCTTTAGAGATTCTTGAGGAGACAGGAATGATAGGATGTAAACCTATTAACACTTCTATGGATTCGAATGTTAAAACTACTCCCATGACAAGGGAGAAACTCAATAATTTTGAGAGGTATAGACGGTTGGTTGGAAAGTTTAATTATCTCATGTTGACTAGATCGAACATCTCTTTCCTGTGAGTGTCTAAGTCAGTTTATGGATTCTCCTTGTGATAGTAATTGGGACGCAATTGTTCGGATTCTGCGATATATAAAGTCAGCTCCTGGTAAAGGACTACTCTTCAAGGATCAAGGACATGAATATATCACCGGATATACAAACATTGATTGGGCAGGATCACCCTGTGATAGACGTTCCACATCCGGATATTGTGTTTTAGTAGGAGGTAATTTGGTGTCATGGAAGAGTAACAAACAAAGTGTGGTTGCTCGATATAATGCAAAGCAGAATATTGAGCAATGGTTGTAGCAACTTGCGAGCTAGTATTGATCAAACAATTGCTTGGAGAATTGAAGTTTGGAGAAACCGGTCATATGGAACTTGAGTTTGATAATCAAGCAACCCTTCATATCGCATCAAATCAAGTGTCTTATGAGAGGACTAAGCACATTGAGATTGATTGTCACTTTGTTAGACAAAAGATACTCTCCAGATATATTGTTACTAAATTTGCGAAGTCAAATGATCAACTTGCTGATATCTTCACCAAGTCCCTTACCGGTCCTCGTATTAATTACATTTGTAATAAGCAAAGTACATATAATTTGTATACACCAGCTTGAGGGGGAGTGTTAGAATAGAATAGGTATACACAACTTTATAAAGAATATGAATAGTTTATAGTCTCCTATTTGGTAAGGAATTGTATTGTAGTGTCTATAAATAGGGTTCTCTATGTAATAATTAAAACAACAAATCAATAATATACTCCTTCAATATTTCTCAAAATATCCATTTTTGATCATTTCAGATTTTAGAACTTGAAATTGATGGTGTCACGATAAGAGAACTTTTATGAAACTATTACACAGATACTACTTCCTCCAGATATAAAAGCACTAGAAAGTGTCAAAGTCGTTTGTTTCAAACTAAAGAAAAACAAATAAAAATAAGATGTAACTCTTTTCTGAGTGCTACCCATATAGAGTGGTGAGAAAAGGAGAAGAATTATTTATCTTAACAAACACAAATAGAAAAGAGTCGGACATAAATACATTTAGAGTTCAACTTGTAATAGAAGAAGTAAAATTTATTTAACACCAGAAGTTAATAATCTTGAAATAAAGTAGAGCTTCTGAGAATAGATATAAAAGTAACCTGACTGTAAAAAATCATTACACCGCACATATACATAAGTGTTTGAAAAGGAGTTTTTGGGGAGAATCAGGATTGATCCCGGGGTGGGGCACAACAAAAATGTTCTAGGGAGACCCGGGGGTAAAAAAATATTGGTAGGTGTAAGCCCCATTATTCTAGGCAGACACCTAGACACTGGGAGAGTTTTTGTTTTGGGGCGTAAGCTTAGAAAGCTTCTCCAAATTACTAGAATTGCTAAACAAGTCTTCAATTTATTACCAAAACCACAAAAGTGGGCTTGTTATAAATTCTAAAAAGTTAAAAAACTTGAAAGTCAATTTTTTATTTTTTATTTTTAGTCCTAATTTTTATTCCCTCTCTTTACCTTTTGTCATGTAAAATGAGAAATGTTATTTTTGCAATTTAAAAGCAAAAAGACTTCATCTTTCATCACTTGCTTTGGTTCAACGCTTTTGATTAGGTTTCTTTCTCACTTTTTCTTTCTTTTCAAGTTCTTTTGCTCTTATGATTTTCTACTTTAACTTTGTTTCAAAGTCTGGTTAGGTTTTTTTGATGGATCAAGTTCTAATTAGTGTTTTCATATATTGATGATTCTCATTAGCATGTTTAGATGAAGTAGTTCTATATACCTTTTCCATCTTTTTTATATTTATTTCTATGGTATTAATTTCTAAACTATTAAAAATTAAGTCTCCTGGGGCTTATCCCAGTTCCTCAAGGCCTATATCCAGCGCCTGGAGGCTTATACCTCACCCCTTATTAGAAAAAATGTCCCCCCTTGCACTCAGTCCTTTTAAGACACTGACGGATATCAATTAAAATTGCTCAAACATACTTTTAAGTCAGTTTTTAACTTCTGAAAGTGATTGGCGACAAATATAAAAAATAATTTAAAATAAATCAAAAATGACTTAAAATAATTTGAAAAGTGTTTAGAAAGGTAAAAAATGACTTAAACTAAGTTTAAAATGACTTAAAATAAGTCAAAACCCCAAAGTAGGTCTCTCCCTACCTTTTTATTTTTGACTTAAAAGTCATTTCAGTTTGACTTAAAAGTTGTTTATTTTCCTGTTTTTAAGAGTTCCTCACTCATTCAAAAGAATTGGAGAAAAAGCTTATTAGAGTAACCATGACAAACTGACATTTGAAAAGTGTAGCAATCTAATAATATTGGCACTAAGTGAATCCTAGGACTGAATTAAAAATACTTTGAGATAATTATTTTCTAGAACTAAAGTAAGAAAAGCTGTTTTCTTTTGGGAGTTTCTATTGAATGTATTTTCACTTTAAAATCATTTTTCTTCTCGCTCTTAATTACATTATGGCCCAATTCGCCAAAAGTAGCTCAGCTTAAAAGATGTTAGATTAATTTGTCTTAAATAATGAATCAAAGGGCTATTTCAGATGTTAACAAATATCTGAAATATAAGATAAAAAACTAAAAGACATGACATGGTTGTTAAAATTTCAAATTTATCCCAAGCAGGACGAGCAAGAAACTGCTTCACTCTCCCTTGTATATTAGTAGAGATGCATTTCAAGAATGAGAAGCATATATACCTGTTGAGTCCCGTGCATAATTCCTTCCATGGAATCAATTAGTTTCTTTCGACCAGCAGGGCTAGTAAGAGCATCTTTGAACTATACAAACATAGACAAAAAATGACAAGATAGAAGAAATCAACAATGTCTATAGATAAAATAGGATTGATCAGGAACAAAGGGAGGAAGATTCAAAAAAAAGTTTGGATAGCAACAAGAAATCAATGTACATTTACATGGTAGAAACCCAAGAAAACTATCGGAGAACTACAAAGTATGTGATATAGAGTACAAGTATTCTTTTAAATTCAATCTGTGCTAAATCAGTACAGTTACACAAAAGAAGAGGAACTCAAAAAAGCGGAAAAAGGTTTTCCACTCTTCAAGAGAACAACCAACCAAATACACCTCGCTCACTCATAGATAATAAGATCAATAGGTCCTTTGACATATAATTTGATGCATTTCACCTCATACTTTGGTGTATTTTAAGTGTTTTCATTAGTAAAAAATGACCTATTCATCTTAAATTTAAGGATTTTAATGTGTAGGAAGTCGTGAGCGGAAAGGAAGAAAATTTCAACTGAGATAAAGGAAAAAAGAAAAATCCAGAGTACGCATGCGGGTTGATGTGCTGCATGGTCAAAGCATTGGCGACTGGCAGATTCTGACGAAGGAATTGCATGCTAAACAGTGAGTAAGACCTCACTGCATGGTCATCGTGTTGGGAGATTCAATATCCCAACCTTTAGTTTTGAGTTTTGCGCTTTGGTTAATGGTCCAATACTTCCCTTAGGTGCATATGATGTTTTAACGCTTTGCTCAATGGTTCGATACTTCCCTTAGGTGCACATGATGTTAGGACATTTTGGGATGTTTGATTTGGGACTCGAGAAACTGGGGTGAGTTTCTGCATCATCGGACAAGATGCTAAAATTTTAACAACTGAAACAGGGCCAAGTGCAGCCAGCCCTAGGAAAGTACGGCCAACACTTGGCCAATTTGATAGCTGAAAATTGGTAGATTGCTTACCCAAGTGCATCCATCATTGCTCAAGTGAGGTACGCAGATATAGCCAGGTTTAATATTTTTATTTCATCTTTTATGAGAGGGCCAAGGAAGGCGCATTTGCAGACTTGACAGTACTACGTGAGGAGGTCTCTCAAGCCAGTTGCTGAGTTGCTGCCCAGATCAGCCCCCTTATTCGATGACCCTGCCTCTTACAAGCATCCTTAGCAGAGAGGGGTGTGATCCTTTGAAGATCAAATAGAAAAAGAACACGTTCCATATTTTCTGAGGCGATTTTACACTGAAGAAGGAGATGTCACAGTAGTTTCAGCCTCCTTTTTGCACATATAGCATCTGTTTGGGAGTTGGATTTTCCTTTTCTTCATATTATCTTGAGTAATACATGCCTCATATAGAGTTGTCCAAGTAACACATACAACCTTAGTGGCAGATATAGAATAATATGTATGGGAAAAGACATCAATTGCTACCTACTCATTCGCCTCCTCTTCCTGGTTTTGTTGGGAGTTCAATTTCCGCTATTAGGTACAATGAGTTGCCGTGTGCAGATCACAGCATGTAAAATACCAACTTCTCTGCATCAAGGGCCCTTTGTGAATGCAACACCTACCTGATGAGAGTCTTTAAGAGTTATTTGAACCCAATCTCCCCCACCTCTATTAAGAACACCCCGGCTAAGTTGGTTCCGTGTAGTTTTGAAGGTTGTGATTGATTGTTCCTCCAGGATTCCACCTGATAATCCGCAAGGCACTCAACAGTTTGCATGTCTGGAATATTCGTCATGAGAGCAGAAAACTCAGGCACATAATCCCTTATTGACTTGATTTGCTGCAGCTCCCCGAGTCATCTTCATGCATTGTACTAGATAAGTCCTCCCATGTCTCCAGAGTGTCTTCACCAGCCCTAATGGCTTCATACTTCACTCACTAATAAAGCTTGGTATCCCCTCGCAGATACATGATAGTAGTTGCTACCTTCTTTGCTTCTTCTAGCTCCCCACGACCTCAAAGTACGATGTTGAAGATGAAGTACTTCTTTTGCATCTTGAGCACCGTGCTAGGACTTTCAGGAAGATGCTTATCGTGGAAGAAGATCCAAGAATGAGTCCAAAAATTGTGGAGAAGAGTGGAATAAGCGTTACAGATTTCATGGTGCATCTCCAAATCCCAGAGGAAAATTGGTGTCACATGGAGCTCGAAGAATCTGAAAATCAAGATCACATGGAGTCAAAGGGTGCTGCAAATTAAACCCAAAATAGGCTGAAATTCATGCCCAAAACATCCTAAATTCGGGCTTGTGTTTTTGGAGCAAAAAAAAAGGCATTTTTACCTTCTTTTTTTTTTTGATTGTTTGGCAGAAAGTGTGACATAAAATTTTCACTTGTTTTCCTAGTTTAAAGTTTTCTAGTTAGGTTTTACTATTAATTATTTTCATTAAAATTGACCAAATTTTATAGTTTTATTCTGATAGACCAAATTTGATAGTTTTCATCAATGGAAAACTTTTGGGGTATTAGAAAGAAAAAAAAGCACGAGTTGAAAATAGTAGCCCTGACGGGTAGGATAGCCCTCATGGGTTAAAAATGGTAATATGGTATTGTAGTTCTTTGAAAGATTTCACGGATCAATTAAGCTCTGATACCACTTTTGGTGTTTGTTTTTAAAAAATCGACAACAAAAGAATTGAATTGAAAGAATTGAATTGAAATGGCTTTCAATAGTTTAATTGAGCATTGAGGGGCTTTAAATAGCAAACATAAAAAACATAATCTGCATAATTTGAATTTTAAAACAACCTAAAATATCTCAACAATTCAAACAACCTAACTAAAATTCAATATTCAAATTCATCTTAAACTAAACAATTTATTTTACTAAAAGTTACTACATTAACTAAAAGCAAACTTCAACAGGTTTATTTTGCTTAGTACAATACCTGTGAGCGTATGGAGTTCAGTAATGATGTTTCCTTTAGCATCAATTCTTTTATCCCCAACAATGTATTGTAAGTAGCATAGTATTTACGGGTTTGACGATCCTTGCCCTGCATGACTCATTGTAGAGGTTAACAGAGTGATTAAAAAGGAAGTAAAAAAATATTTGTAATAAGAAAATATATGCTCCTAGGCACAGGTCCCAAGAACCCTCTCTCTCCTAATTCTTAGGAGAAAAAAACCACTTTTTCTGGCAGTAAAACCTGCCGGAATCCTTCCTTTCTTTTGCCTCTAACACAAGCTATCACTATTTGTGTTAGCTTTATCCTCTCTTCATTTCTTTCCAGAACTGATCACGCGGGAAAACAGAATATACTTCAATGCAAGGCACAAGTCTTTTAACATTACAAGGTGGATAGCCAACAACTCGGTGTGGTACGAATGGGTGTAAAGAAGTTGCAGGCTCATGAGAAGATCTGAGATGAGCAGTAAGACCATGGAGTGGATCTACGTCACTCTAGAGGAAGCATCTAGAGATTAAAATAACAGTCAGAAGATGGGTTCACATATGACATTACAATATGGGTCGAGTGGAAATCTCGTCGGAACTCAAGAGAAAATCAGTTAAAGAAGAAGATTATTTGAATTACTCTTAAATGTGGCTAGAGTGGAAGACTAGAAGTGACTCATCTGCAATATGCTGATGATACACTCATCTTTTGTGGGACTGAAGAAGGTCAACTCAAGCATCTGAGGGTGATCCTGATTCTGTTTGAAGGGATTCCGGGGCTACATATCAATTGTAGAACGAGTTCTCTGTATCCTACAAATGATGTAGCTAACATGGAGGCTCTGAATATAATACTGGGTGGCCAGGTGGGATTCCTTCCTACCACGTACTTGGGGATGCCTTTTGGGAATCATTCGAGATTTGGAATACAGTGATTGGAAAATGAGAGAAGAAATTGGCCGGATGGAAGGGGCAATACTTGTCTCTTGGAGGCAGGGTCACATTAATCAACTCTGTTCTAGATTCCAACCTACATGATGTCACTATTTCCAACCCTGGCAAGGATAAGCAATAGATTGGACAGAATCCGAATGAAGTTCCTATATGGCAGGAAAACAAAGAAAGAAAATGATATAATCTAGGAAGGAAGTTCCTATGGCAGCGAAATTAAGAAAGAAAATGGTATGATCTAGTTAAATGGAAAGAGGTGATTGTAGAAAAGAGATATGGGGAAATAAGAATAAACAACTTGAAAAACTATAAAAGGACCTTAGAACGAAGTGGCTCTGAAGGTATGCAAATGACAAGTCGCACTTAGAAGCAAAATATGAGGAGGATAGTTGGATAACAGAGGAAGTTACTGGACCATATGGAGTGAACCAACGGAGGCCTATCAGAACTCTATGGAATGAACTTAAGATAAACACCAAGATCAAAGTGACCAACAAGGGGAAAGACAAGGTTTTGGAAATAGAAATGGCATGAGGCAGGCATCCTAGAAAACCTTTTTTTAGACATGCACAACATAGCAATACAACAACACAGTACCATAGCAGAAATTTGGACACAAAGGATGGGACATCACCTTCAGGAGACAAATTAATAGTTGAAAAATTGTAAGAGTGGCAGAGTTTTTCAACATAATTGGCCGGTTCAGTGGGACACAAGAGGGGGAAGATGAGCTATGGTGGCAGGGCTTTGGGAAAGGCACATTCAAGGTTGGCAAAGCATACAAGAAATTTTCCCAATCAACAGCTTATCAACTGGCCATGGAAGAATATCTGGAGGGTCAAATTCCTAATAAGGTTGTCTATTTCTTCTGGCTCTTATCCAAAGAGACATTGCTTTCACAGGATAACTCAATGAAAAGGAGATAACATTATGCGGTTATGCCCTATATGTTTATTTTATCCGGAGAAGGCGGAAATCGTAAACCAACTCTTTTTGCACTGAAAGTTTACAGGACAACTATGGAGGTTGTTTCTAAACTTGAGAGATTTATCTAGGTCCAATGCCAGGAAAGATCACAGACACTTCAAAGCTGGGAAGAGATAGGGGTACTGGCCAAAAGCAGAAGCAGGTGGAGAAACGTACTAGCCAATAGATGGTAGACTATATGGAGGAAAGAAATGCTAGGTGTTTTGAGAACATAGAAAATAGTATATATCAGATCAGGTTGAATTATATCTTGATTCTGTGTTTTTGGTGTAATCAGATTTGGTCTATTATCATATCTCTATTATTGATGTTCTAAATTCATTGTAGACATAGGATCATAGGATTTTGTAAATATGGTTGTAGTTCAATCCATGTACTACTCTTTACTTGTATATTAAATATAAATTTGCCAGTTTCAAAAAAATAAAAATTGATTGACAAGGACCTGAAATGTGAGGTATGGTCTAATGAAGATTTATGCCACTGTCTATGGTTGTACCTGGATATGAGTGTAAAGTTCTGACAATCGGAGTTCATACCTGCGGAAGAAAAGCTCTGTCATAAGTATGAGTACAAGGCATTAATAAATCTGACCACATTCATGGCTAATAATAAGCAAACCAACACAGAAATCCTCTCAAGTTTATAAATATTTAATACAAGAGATATTGGGACCTTAGGATCAATATAGTGAAGAAGTCGTGTAGGCTGTGAAATAGCATCTTTTCATGCTTCGGGAAAAACATCACCTAAATGAGTAACAAAACCTAGAAACAATGGAGTGTTATTCTCTCTATGGGCTCAAACAATCTCCAAGAGCTTTGTTTAAGAGTTTACTTGGTTTGTAAAAAACAAAGGTATCATACTTACAGGAGATGACTTTCCTGAAATAAAGCCATACCATGTTCATTTGATACTCTCTTGAGGGAAAGACAACTATCGTAATAGTGTATGCCGATGATATCATACTTACAGGAGATGACTTTCCTGAAATAAAGAATTTAAAAAAACAATTCGCCTCACAGTTCGAGACCAAAGATTTGGGTCAGTTTAAAAAATTCCTTGGCATGAAAGTAGCAAGATCAAAAGAAGGCATTAAGGTTTCACAAAGGAAGAATCAACTAGATATTCTAAAAGAGATAGGTATGAGTGGTTGTCGTTCAGCTAAAATACCTATTGATCCGAATATAAAATTCAGAAATGAAGAAGGAAATTCAATTGACCAAAGTCAATATCAGAGGCTAGTTGGGAAGTTGATCTACTTATCACACACTCGACCTGATATGACTTTTGTTGTAAGCTTAGTGAGTCAAATTTATGCACTCTCTGAAGGAGGATCACCAAGAAGCGGTCTACATGATTCTAAGATATTTGAAAAGCTCGCCATGGAAAGGATTGTTTTGCAAAAATTGTCAAGATAAGGACATTGAAGGCCTTTAGAGATGCAGATTGGGCCGTAGCAGTGCTGAAGTTGAACGATTGATGGCCCATGGGATCTGTGAAATGATTTGGCTCAAGAAGATGATGGAAGAACTAAAAATAGTGTTTGTGTTATCAATGAAGTTGTACTGTGACAATAAAGTCGCCATAAGTATTGCTCTCAATTCGGTTCAACATGACAGAATAAAGCATGATGAAGTGGATAGACACTTCATAAAAAGAAAGATGAAGAAGGAAATGTGTGCATGCCTTTTGTCCCAAATCAGGAAATTGCAGATATTTTCACAAAAGGCTTGTTTAAACCAAAGTAGGAAATTCTTGTAAGCAAGTTCGGCATGAATATTTACATGCCAACTTGAGGGGGAGTGCTGATTTGTAAATCTAAATGTGATCAGATATGATTTTGAAAGATTTAAATTGATCTAATAAAATCATATCTGATATGCTATTAAATAGGTTAGGATATTAGATGAAATAAAATCATCCCTTGATTCTCAAATCTCCTTGAATCAAGGGATCTGATAGCTAGTTAGTTTATTTTCCTATGCTATAAATGTGTATGTCTATGGATGGATAATATTGTACAACTTTGGTACCAACACTTACAAAAAGCTCAAATATACATATGCTATATAATATTTCTAGGATTCTAACATTCATTAATACTCAAATTCTCTCTTTCTGTCAAAAAGCGAGTTGTTGAACCTTTATTTGTTACTGTTAAAGTTCCACGCCGGTTAAATCAGTTGTATTTTGTTTTGGGTCAATCCTCATCACTTGAGCTAACTTTTGGGGTCGTAACATTCCCAATGTGCATTTTCCTAACGTGATATTAAAACTAGACCCGTCTCTGATGTTGGGTTACCCAACATTGGACCACTTTGTTACATTACTACAAGCTTCAAATGATTAGTCAAGTCCATAAGGAAATCCAAAATCTGTAGGTGTATGTTTTGTTGCCTCCTTGTAAGATATTGTGAAATTCTCACACCCCTATTATGCTTCATAAAAATATTGAGAGATATTTCAATCAATACTTTTTGTTGGCCCATTATTAAAAACACCAACAGTGGTATCAAGAGCTTTAATGATCTTACGTGATCTGTGAGTTCTTCCAAAGAACTATCATATCATTTTTAACTCGTGAGGTCCACTTTTAACCGGCAAGGGCTATTTTTCAATCAATTATACAACACCAGGGTTATTTTCAACTCATGCTTTTTTCAAAACAAAAGTTTTGGGTTAACTCATGCTTTTTTCAAAAAAAAAGTTTTTCTCAACCAAATTATAACCTAAGATCATACTTTAAAGCCTATGATCTATGGAAGTTGTAACGGAAGATATACCCTTACAATCTCTCCCTACAAATCCTATCCTTTATCAAATTAAATGTCATTTGAATGAAAAAAACAAATAATTCAAAAACAAAATTGTAATTCAAAATTTAGTTGCGAATTAAATTTTTTCTTAAGTCATTGATTGTGAGACGGCAAAAGAAGCTTGGGAATTTTTTTAAAAATATATATATAAAGGAAGTGATCAAATCGAACAAATGCAAATTTTGAATTTGGAAAGGGATTTTGAATCTCTTAGGATGCAAGAGGATAAAAAAATGTTAAGTATTCTAACAAGATTTCTTTGATTGTTAATAAGATCAGGTGGATTGGCGAGAATTTCAAAAATGACAGAAAAGTAGAAAATATTCTTGCGGCAAATTTCAGAGAGCATCAGTCTAAAATTTCTTCTCTGGAAGAATCTAAAGATCTCTCTACTATCACTGTTGAAGAACTAATAAATTCTCTTCAAGCACAAGAGCAAAGAAGAGCATTTAGACAAGATAATGCTATTGAGGGTGCTTTTTATGTATAAAACTAGAAAAGGAAAAGGTAATTATCCTCTTTGCAAATACTACAAAAAAAACACTTGAAAATTTTTTGTTAGTGGAGACCTGAAGCAATATGTGGAAATTGCAAACAAGCCGGCCATATTTTAAAAGTGTGCAAGCTTAAAAACAATCCTCAAGCACAAGCAATAGAAGCAGAAAAAGAGGAGCAACTTTTTTAAATTGTAGTATCTAGGGGAAATGAGAAGTGTTGAATTTGCTTTTAGTTATTGCAAGTAAACTTTTAGCATAATAAGTTACCTAACTTTAGGGTGAATTTGAATTTTAAATATGTGTGTTGATTATGTAGCCTTTTAGATTTTTATAATGCAGATTTTCTGCTAATTATGTCATCAAGTTGGCTATTTAAAGCCCTATAATGCTTAATAAAAATATTGAGAGATATTTCAATCAATACTTTTTGTTGCCCTGTTTTTAGAAACACCAACACAAACAGCCAAGAAACTATGAAGGCCATCAAACCTATAATCTATTAAAATATATCTAAAGCCTACAAGCTAACATGCTCTTATGCAGTTTTTATCTCCAAATCATCATGGTGGGATGCTAAAGAATCAAATCCCGCCTCCTGCTAAGATATTCACAATAGTAAGACTCTGAAACTTGGACTTGGACAAAAGTCAAACATAAAATCCTCTAACTTTGTATACTGGTACTCTTTCACTAAATAAACTTGAAGCATCTATAAACTATAAAGTAGTTAGTTAGACAGCTTGTGTAGATTGTTTCATTAACAAACTAAAACCAGATAATTAACAGGTGAAAGCCAATTCCAGGGTTTTCTAAATCAATATCGTACTAATTGCTTTCATTCATCTCAGCTAAATGCTACCCTATTAATTCTAGAAGCAAACAACTCTTCACAAATGTAAGGGCTTACAAGATTTAGGCTAGGATGAAATGAGGTTTCATTGACAAATAATGAAAGCTTAAAGAGTTCAAGTACATTTAGATAAGGATACACTCTCACATAACCTTGCACCCAAGGAGAGTGACCTAATAGTCGACGTAGTAGATCAACAACCATTAGGTATCAGGTTCAAATCACAATGGAGGCAAAAACACAAAGTGATTCTTTCCATTTATCAAAAACTTGGTGGAAAGAGTAACCCAGTACCTATGATGATGGTAAGTAGACCAAGACATCAGTTATCAAAACAGAACAAAACAGAAAATTCCCCCATAATCCTTAGCTTGAATTTGCTCCAGATAAACGTTTCAGAGAGACATAAATTTTTAATTGGTTTTCAATTCAATGAAACAATTCTACACCGATTCAAAACTCATGCTCTTTGTATACCGAACATATTTAAGAGGGATTTCCACATTCAGCACGTATCAGGATTATCATGCACAAAATGGAAAAGCACTAATAGAGGAACATACTGAATGAGTTCAGCTTGTGATGGCACATCATCGAGCTGTCGTTTAAATGACAGAGTGGACCTCAATTTAGCTGCAAGTTCCTATAAAAGAAAAAGACCTGTAATTCTAATATGACATACAACATCAAGGTGCAGTTTATTGGATAGCGGTGAACTTAGGTATAATGATGCTGTGTTTTAATTAGAAAGATGCTAATCTAAATCTTATCTTATCCAAAAACAAAGATGCTATAAATTAAGTAGAAAGATGCATATCATGTAAGTTGACTGGTGAAGCTACAAAAACTGATTGCATATCAAGGATGCTGTCAGAGTTGAATTAGAAATCCTGATGACTGTTAGCCTAAACATCTTTATGTAGAACTAATTATGGTCCATCGGCTATCTAACAAATAGTCCAAATTGCTGTCGACTTTCCTTGGATGATTAAAACTTGAAACACAAAAGCAATTAATGTGCAGAGCTTCCCACTCGACATTGTTTTCTTAAAGCCTGAAAAGAAGGTAATGCATCAACATGGGCTTTATCATGAGGTATGCCAGAAGTACAAAACAAGAAACCAAGATTCATGTTAAGGACTAGATCTGAAGAAGTCCTCTAGCCAAGCAGAGGACGAATACAAAGCTTTCCCTATGTACCGGACTAAAGAAATAACTCACAAGCAGCAAAGAAGAGTGTGGTCCTTTTTTTCTTTGGGTGTATATCCTAGGAAAATAACTCTGCATAACTTTCAAAAAATAGCTTCAACACAGACACAGTAAAAATTGGGGTGGCATACTGTTAAAGATCATTGCAGAATGCAAACTTATTAGTGGGGCAAAAAGACCATCGAGATGTAGGCCTATAAAATTCCTTAGAGTGTGGTAACTACACTTAATAATGAATTTACACAATGATATGAAAAGAGAAAGCATTACCATATTGTATGGCTTTATTTACTATTTGGAATTTGACAAGACGATTTCTATAATCCTTTTTTGTCTTCATTGGTCATTTATGTTGAACAATGACGGCAAGGAACACATAGCCTATCATATGCATCTTGTTAGATAGTTCGTATAATAATATACTTAAGGGGTTGATTGGTTGGTGGGTTGGGATAGGCAAGGATATCTCATGGGATTATTTGGCCACAATCTATATGGGATAACTTTTTCCACCATTTTATACTAAAATAGTGGGATTAAATAATCCTGGACTATATAATACACATTACCAAGCGCATGACAAAATAATCTCATGGATAAAATTCAGGATTATTTTATCATGTGTTTGGTTATCAGTATCAATTTATCCCGCAATTATTTCCCATCATTTGTACGAAAATAGTGGGATTAATTATCCCATATAAAAGGTGGGATAGATAATCCATGGGATATCTTGTCTATCCCATCCCTCAAACCAAACGACCTACGAGTCCCATATTGGAAGATAGGTATTGAGTATTGTGTAAAGTTTGTATATAAACAGGGTTCAATGCAAGAAAATTAATTCACGCATCTTAATGATATTTTCTCGGCTCACTATTATACACATGGTGTGTGGTGAAAAATATTCAGAAAAAGAGAATACAGTCAGCGAGCCTCAATTATTCGATGACTAGCTCAGAAGTTTTGCATCATCCTCTTCTTATTTAGGTTTTGTGTGAAAACCAACACTACCATAAAATTCATCATCGACCAGAGATCAAATCCCAATAAGACTTTCCGGCATCCAATCCTGCATGAGCCGCAGCATCTAGTCTTCATACGAAACAGTAAAGTCACACGCCGACGTGTGAGGTAGTTTCCCGGTATTTGTCAAGTTGGAGTCTTCTGTACAGTGGTCGCTTGTTGTTTCCAACCCTAATCACAGGGATTTTTCCAGTAAACGGTCACTGAAACAGTGTTTTCAAATGGTACAGTGACTTTTTCACTTTTTTTGTTATTTTGCTAGACCTCTTTGCCATCGAATAGTCTTTCAAGTTTGACATTTTTGGCTCCAAAAATACAGAACAAGAAATTTAGGTTTTATGATTACTTAAAAGACCTTAGTTCAAACTATTTAGCTAGGACTTCCTTAATTGAGTTGTGATGCAAAGACCAAGGTGTTCAAGATCACTTGACCAAAAGGACTATTCAGGGAGGTGACAAGGCTCAAGCACAGTGGTAAAAGACTGATACTCAATTATGTAATCACAAGTGGCAATCTATGGACTCCAAGTTGATGCCTTCATTTCATCCTTTGATCCTTATAATACATTTTATTCAGTTTGGGAAAAGGCCCACACTTTATACACTAATAAAATCTCATTTTATGATGTTATATCAAGGGTGACAAACTTAAAAGAAACATGAATTGGATGTCTAAGCACTTCGGACAGGTACAAGCAATCATGGAGTAATTTGATTACTAACTTTTAGTCTTTTACAGAATGTTTCATCCTAACCAAAGTGGAACTCTGAAGGAAGATCTAAAAAATTATGTCTTAGAAACAAGGAAAAGTTAGTGTTGACTCTCCAAAATAAGAGAAACTTGAAACCTTGAGCCATAATATTGACTTTTTGTTAGATATTATCTGATCAACTCAAAGATTTATACCTTAAATGATAAATCCACATTTAACATCTACATTTACCACTGACTGTGAGCTGTTTCCTGCATCTAACTAAAGTCCTCAGATAGAGTTCAAATAAATCTACTTCGGAGGTGATTTCACTTTTGCAGAACAGTTGAAAAGAGCTCTTTTTGAAACACATGAGTATAGTTTAAAGCTTATAATTAGTTGAAGGTCAATGTTCAGTGTGTCCTTTTCACCCCATCATATCTTCAATTCCCACAATAACCATCAAGTCTAGCAGAGAGAATTTATACCCACAACTTTGTACTTCCATCTTAGATTACCTTTCTTGAGCCAGAAGATACCCTTCTATTTTGTATGTTTCTCAACCCCCTCCCTGATCAAGTCTGGATTATTTACTTCCGTTGATCAATTAAGGAATAATTTCGTTAATAAAAGGAAAAAACTCCCATATACAAGTAGAATACAAAAAAAAGAGATCTGAACAAATAAGAATCTCATGGGTGCACCAAAGAAACATGAGGGATAGAGGGCCATTCTTCAAATATACAAAATGATATTTAATTCCTTCAAAAGTTCTTGTATTTCTTTCTCTCCACACTAAACACATAAGAGCAAATGGAGCAATGTCCCAAGCCCATCTTCTCTTCCGTCTTCCCTTCTTGTCGTAAAGCAGAATCTAGTAATTACGGTATCGGTCCTTACCAAGTAGAAATTCTTCAAAATCAATATAACAATAACTACCTCCAAAAATATCATGAAAAGGAAATAATAATGTAGAAGCGTAAAAAGATATATACAGCATAATAAGCCAAGACAATAAGAAGATTGATTAAAGATAAAGGTTGATGTAATTGAAACTAGATATAATTCTTCATATTTTTGGTAAAACTAAAGCAATATCTAAGTTTGTGTGACGAACATCCAAACCAACAAACAAAGCATAAAATTTTGTAAGAAACATACACATAGCATATCAGATAAAGGCTACTCAAATTGGCCCTGCCATGAGAAATTAGAGAGAAACCAAGTAAGAAGCTTGATTAATCCCTCAAGTTTGGTTTGGATTTTATTGCAACTTCTTTAACAATATAGTAAGTGTATAATCACGAAATCTAGTCATAATCAAATTCCTAATGAAATTAATTCTAATCATTGTAAATCTTACCTCAAGTTGGAGCTTACATAATCTTGATACAAATACTCGACTCGAGGTCTTCCTAAGCTTATCATTCTGTCTGAAAAAGTTGGTGGCTATGCATCTGGACTCAATCTATAATGCCCCACATGCATTTAGGTAATTTTAAACTCATGCCATGCTTTAAAACATGCCAATTGAGTGATACTTTGTGATGGTAATTAATTATGATGTTTGAATATTGATGTAGGTGTCGATTTGTAACAAGTGAGGTAGAGGTAAGTAGACATAGCAAAAAGGAACTAAAATGTCACAACCCAAGGCCATATACGAGCGGATTTATGACTCATGCTACGCAAGATCCAGCCCCAAAAGCGCGCATACCAGGTGAACTTGAACTATGCCTTATAAAGCTCTTTATTTTCCTCTCCCATTTCGATATGAGATTCGCCTAAGGTGTTATGTGCACCTCATCTTCAGAAATTTACCAACCTAGAAGCTTGCTAGGCCCACACTCATCAGTCCGCCCATTGTCAAGGGGCTCACATATAAATTTAGAAGTTTGACTGGCTATGGTGGGTCGCCATGGTGTGCCCACCACGTGAAAGGGGCATAACTCAATCTATTAGTTCTTTGTTATTGTAAGCAAAAAAGTAAAGCATTTTCTTACCCTCTTTGCGAAATCAAGCTTCTTAGTGGAGTCCCGAAAAGTATGGTCCAAATTTTCAGAGAACTTCACCTCTTTGCCTTTTTGCAGTAGCTCCTCAAACTCATCAACCTTGGTTTGCAATTTAGCATGTTCTAAGATGCACCTAGATTGGAGTTCAGATTCTTGGTTGTCAAGGGCCTAAAAGAATCAAGAGCAAAAGTTGGTCAAATGCATTTAATCATGGCAGAAGGACATCAAAGAAGAAGGCTTCATGAGACAAGATAATCTTTTAAAGTGAGATTTAAAAAAAAAAGCTACCAAGATATTGAGTATAAATAACAGAAGAAAGATGATGAAACATCGAGAAAAGGATATTGAGCTCAATAGAATTGCATGTAATCTTTTTATTTTTAAGATTTAAAATCTGACAAGGTTGAGAGATTGCTAAAGCAACAAATGATGCTCGTCTACAAGATTGCAAAACGCAGCACATATCAGGTTAAATATTTTATGCCAAGAAAAGGATTTCACCCAAAAATATAGAAACAATTTTAACAGTCTAAACTTAATCATCCACAAGAACCAGAATGCAACAATATGATTTTGTTGCGAAACAAATACAGGAAATGAAAACTATTATACAAGGCACGTCGCAAGCGTAGATAGGATTACAGTCAACTGTCGAGTCAGTGAACGCCAGTCAGACCAAAGACTTGTTGGACCCGCCTTATTCGCACCAAACATCAGGAGTCTGGAAGAATCCATCCGGGGAGGTTCAAAGTGCCCGTACAGTATATAACCCAAACAACGGTCAGATTCCAAGATATCTGGTTTTCCATTTAATGGCAATGAACTTAGCCATGTAACGGCTGAAATGAGCATGAATCATGAAGCAATCACCACTGGCCTACCTTTTAAACTCCGCCACTCTTCCCCACCATTTGAATTCACCGGAATACAAATGTTACTTTCGTCTTTTATAGGTTATCTAAATTTGGCTAATGTCTTTGTTATTTTTCATATCATTATTCCAATTAAATTCACATTAGGAAGATTTACAATAATTTTATAAATAAATTTTAGGTTAAACGATGAAAGGTTTTTTACCGCTGTTTGTAGCGAAAAACTATTTCGAACACACAAGAGTTCACTAAACCCATCAAAAACTAAGTACAAGTAATGTAAAATCTATTACCGAAAGAGACACAACTTCAGCACCTACCTTGGACGTTTCCAGAAGCCATAATATCTTCTGCGCAGTGGAATCACCGTCAATTTTTTCTTCTATTTGCTTTATTTCACTCAGCAAATCATCTTTTTTCTGATTCAAAGCAAATAAGGATTAATAAATGCTGATTCATGGAGATGAGATGACCGAATTCAAATATGTCCAGTTGATTCTGCAATTCTAATAGCTTCTTACCAGTTCTTCCATTATTATTCATGAACGATCGATTCCTCCTGCAACTTCCCGACAAACAATTGGAGTTATATGGGCTTTTTTTTTAAAAGGGAAAATGGTTAAAAAATAACCTCAACTTTTGATTTATTGATTAATTTTATTTTGGGTAAATCACGCTATATTTAAAAAATATTTACCATTTATGTCAATATAATTTTTATAACTAAATATAACATTTTTTTGAAATAAACAAAAAAGTACTGTCGCTTCCTTTCTCGGTCATTTTGCCTCTTAATCTTTTTCTTTTCTTTTTAAAGATCTTCTTCTTATCTTTCTCTAGCTATCATTATTATTTTCGTATTCTTATTTTCTTTTCTTTTCTTTTTTTAAAAAATTCTTCTTCTTCTTTTGATTTTTATTTAATTAACAAATCAATTTTTCATATTTCATTATGAGCATGTCACTATTTTTATACAAAAAAAAAAGATGAAAAGAGGAACAAAAAAATCGTAATATTGTATAAAATCACATTTTAAAGTAGAAATTTCAAATCATTAAAATTACAGAAGTAAGATCTCACCATTAATAGTCATTATAAAGCTTCAAATTTTGAATTCATTATTTGCATTTTACGAATTTGTGATAAGTTTAAATAGGTAATTCTACAAATAATTGAAAATGTCGTTTGGAGTTTATATCTTAATTTTAAGAGTGTTTAGTCAAGTTTATAATTGATTGTATGAGAAATATTAGATTGAAATGATTTAAATATAACATAAAATTGTCTTGCAAATGTATTAAGGTTGAATTAGATGATACAATTTTAATGCAGATTTAATTCATTTTGAAAATCTTTTGATTTATTTGTTACTATTGGATACTTGTTTAATTCTGTAACGACCTGTTTAGTCGTTTTGAGCAGCAGATTTCATTCTGGAAAAATAGGCTGAGGCGACGGACCCAACGACGGACCGTCATGGGCACGACGGACCGTCGCAGGGTCTCGTTTCAAAACACTTAGAAAATCTGAAATTGGGTACCGAAAATCGACTCTTTGAACTTCGTAACGGAGTGGCAGGACGGACCGTCACAGGTGTGACGGACCGTCACAGGCCATTCACCCAAAAATCAAGTTTCTGAACTATGCGACGGACAGCAGGACGGACCGTCGCAGGCGCGACGGCCCGTCACAGCTTGCGAAATCCCAGTTGGAGTCGGATTTCTGGTTAAGTTTTAAAGGGGCGTTTTAGACTATTCCTGCTATAATTATATATTTCGTGGGTTTATATTAATAACTCAAATTCTTGGGGGTTAAAAGAGGTAACCTTAAGTTAATTAGTGGGGTATTATTGCCATCTTTTATTCTTAATTATATACTAATTAGGGTAAAAGAAAGAGGGTTTGAATAAGAAAAATAGAAAGAACAAAGAGAGATAGAAAAAAGAAAGAGAACGAGTAGAGAGAGAGAGAAACGAAGAGGATAGCAAGGATTTTGAGAAGATAGCTTGTTGATCGCAATTCTTCGGTGGAGGTAGGTTATGGTTTTCATGCTATTCGTAGTAAACTCTTAATAGCGAATGATATGTGTTAGTAGTATTGTAAACCTTCTATATGCTTAATTGTATGCTTGCATGAATGATGTGATTATGTAATTGTGAATAAATAAGCATGATGAAGCTATTGAATCCCAAATCTTGAAAAGAAACCCTAATCTACTTTGTTAATGATGATGCCTTGGTATAAAAGAAGGCTTGATGAACGAAAGTGGTGAGATTAGGGGATCGGGTGCCACGTTCCGGTACCAGGATAGAATATGGATCGGGTGCCACGTTCCGGTACCAGGATAGAATATGGATCAGGTGTCACGTTCCGACACCAGGATAGAATATGGATCGGGTGCCACGTTCCGGTACCAGGATATTATATGAGGATCGGGTGTCATGTTCCGACACCAGGATAGAATATGGATCGGGTGCCACGTTCCGGTACCAGGATAGTATATGAGGATCGGAGTGTCACGTTCCGACACCAGGATAGAATATGGATCGGGTGCCACATTCCGGTACCAGGATAGAATTGAGGATCGGAGTGTCACGTTCCGACACCAGGATAGTATATTGAGGAGCGGAGTGTCACGTACCGACACGAGGGGAATAAAGATAATGAATCTTGAAATATGTTAATATATCCAATCTAATGAACTAAATTCCCAAATGAGTATGATGAGGAGGTGTGAGTCCTCATTGATGTGCTTGGTTGTTGTAACCAAAGGTTATGGTAACTGTAAATGCTGCATGCTAAGGATATTAGTTGATTTTATGATATTGCTTAATACATACTGTTTTCTATTTTGAGTTGGCCGATGATATCTACTCAGTACCCGTGATTTGTACTGACCCCTACTTTTATGTTTTCTTCTTGTTTATTTGTGGAGTGCAGCAAACGTGCCGTCGTCTTCGACTCAACAGTAATTCAAGCCAGTCTTACTACATCGGAAATTCAGGGTGAGCTAATGCTTCTAGCTTGGCCTGGATCTTCTTCTTCAAGTCTTGATGCCTTGAACTTCCGGCATGGACTAGCTTCTTATGTATTTTTAGCTTTTAGAATACTCTTAGTTTAGTCATTTGATCGTAGATGTTCTTGTGATGCACTTCCAGATTTTGGGGAATAATAGATGTTGAATTTTAGAAGTTAATGAATTGGTCTTTATTTAATGAGTTTAAGTCTTCCGCATTACTTTCTGTTGATATTATATTGAAATGTTAAGGTTAGATTGGTTGGTTCGCTAACATAGGAGGGTAAGTGTGGGTGCCAGTCGCAACCCGGTTTGGGTTGTGACAAATTCATTACTGATATAACTTATCAGTTTATAGATCATTGTCATGTCTTTTCATTAGTTACATTTTCCATTTATTCTTCATTCTCTTTTCTAATTCAACTTTAAATACTGTGTAATACAATTTTAATGTAAATTTAATTCATTTCACTTTTTTTTATTTGTTATTATTGGATATTTGTTTAATTCATTATTGATACAAGTTTAATTCACTCTACAGATCATTATCTTGTCAGTCATTAGCTATGTTTTTCATTCATTTTTGATTCTCTCTTCTTATTCAAAGTTAACACAGTGTAACACAATTTTAATACAAATTTAATTCATTTTGCATTTTTATTTATTTGTTCCTATTGAATACTTGTTTAATTCATTTTTGGTACAAGTTTAATTAACTCTATAAATCATTGTCTAATATTTCATTTGTTACATTTTTTTATTCATGCTTAATTTTCTCTTCTACCTCGATTTTAATATTTGTGTAATACATTTTTAAAATACAAATTTAATGCATTTTGCAATTAATTGATTGATTTGTTACAATTGGTTACTTGTTTAATTCATTATTGATACAAGTTTTATTCAGGTTACGTGCAGATCAAAGAATGTCCTTTTGTTTTCTACATTCTGCATTCATATTTTTAATTCTCTTCTAATAATTCAACTTTAATATATTTGTAATACAATTTTAATTCTAGTTTAATTCATTTTGCATTTTTTTATGTCTCTTCATTTGTTACGATAATACTAGTTCTCTTCTAATAATTCAACTTTAATATGTTTGTAATACATTTTTAATTTAAATTTAATTCATTTTGCAGTAATGTCTCTTCATTTGTTACGATTATACTAGTTCCTTTCTAATAATTCAACTTTAATATGTTTGTATATATTTTTAATTTAAATTTAAATCATTTTGCAGTTTTTTATGTCTCTTCATTTGTTACAATTATATTACTTCTCTAATTAACTATTGATATAAGTTTTATAGGGTCTAGAATAATTAATTATTATACGGAAAAAGGAAAAAAGAGCAATAGTAAGAGGAGACAAAGCAACAACAAAAAAACAAGAAAGAAAGGACAACAGAAAGAAAGTAGGAAGAATGAAAGAAAGAAGGGAGGAAAAAAATAGAGGGAGTGAGACAGAGAAAAGAGAAAGAAAGAAAAAAAAAGAAGCAAAACATAGAAAAGAAGAAAGAAAGAAAAAAAAAAAGGAAGTGAAACATAGAAAAGAAGAAAGAAAGAGTGAGACAGAAAAAAGGAAAAAAATTAAAAAAGTTGCTATAAATGGTAATAAATGAAAAGTATCTCTAAAATTAGTAATTATTTATTAAAATGTATCAATTTATGTAATTTTTTCTTTTATTTTTATAATTAAAATAAAGTTATTTATACTTTTATCGTTAGTAAACTTGTTATATATACCCTTCAAACTAACTGTTATCCTAAATCAATCCCAAATTCTCAATTTCAATTAAATTATCCATTTAAAAGTGGTTACCTCTTTTAATTTAGACCCGACCCATTAAACCAAATAATATTGGTGAGACTTCAAAGTTCAAGCTTTCTTCCTCAATGTGGTAAAAAAATAAATATTTTGCAGAGTCATGTACCACTGAATATACATAGACTAAGACTGGTCAACGGATCGGAACCGGGTCACCGGACCGGAATGAACCGGTACCGGGCCGGACCAAAATCTGTTGACCGGAATTTTGACCGGTACCGGGATGAACCGGACCGGAATTACCGGAATGGTTCATCGGTTCCGTCCCGTTCTACTATATACCGGGACGGAACCGGAATGAACCAGAACGGACCGGGATGGAACGGGACGGGATTAACGGGACGATATTTTTTGAAATTACGAAAATATAATTTTTTTTATTTTTTAAGTATAAATTAATAGTTTTTAAAGTTATACTATAATTTTTAACTTAAGTTTATTTTAAAGATATTTTATTAATTTTTTTGATTATTGTTAAGTTTGCAAGTAATCTAATAAAGTTTTCAAAATTTAAATCTTTTGAAGTTTATACTTTATAAGTTATTACTTATATTCATTAATATTTATTTTATAAGTTATATTTATAACTTGTATCTTGTAAATATTAAATAAATAAAATTTGTAATTTTAAAAAAGTAAATTAAAATAAGGATAAAACAATTACAAAAATTAAAAAATATCAATTTAATTTATTTAAATTTGTAACAAATTACAATTTCAATTTACAACTATTAGTAGAGTACATAGCTTACGCAGCCACCTTCTAGGAAGGATTCTGTTTCAACTATGTCTCGAATGTAA